GGTGGCCGGGGATTTGAGATGAGCCGAGCAGCTGGAAGCACCAGAGCCCCGTGTGACCGTGCTGGAGGTGACCACGCGCTGCCCGCGGTGGGGTTGAAGTGGACAGTCTGTTGGTGGGTCCGTGGTGCTGCTTAACTCCGCTCTCCCCAACTCTGGTGCGTGGGTGTTGAAGCAGACGAGCTGTCAGCCTGCGTTGAACCCGCGTTTCCCTTTTCGTCCAGGGGTAGATGCTTTAGAAAAAGGTGGAAAGAAATCCTGTAGCAGAGTGGTGTAGCCCCCAACCCCTGTACAGGGCTGGGCTTGCATCCTAAACCACAGCAAAGCTTTTTCTGACCTTTTTTTAACACTGCTAAACCGCGATGGCACTTTCTTTGTCATGTAAATATTGAACCTGTCCCTGAGTCCCTGCTAAGCTCTGTTGGTGAGCTCCCCTCGCTAATGATGTTTTTTTATTACAGCTTAAGGAAACATTAGGTTATTCTCCACACGTGGCCTTTTTCATACAGGGAGTTCACCCTGTTGTTTGTGTTCATCTTGGGGGTTAAGTAGGAACGTTTCTGGACGATTCGCTGTTCCGTAACAGCTCAGAGCGTGTCCTACTTTGGCTCCAGCATTTCTGCACCCCGTAGGATGGACTCATCAAGAAGCAACAGTTCCCACCTTCAGGAGGGAGGGAGGGTGCGTATTCCCAGCTGTTCCCACATCAGAGCTTTAGCCTCTGCATCTGCTGCATCATTCATCAGCCAGACACTTCCAGGCTGTCATTTGGAGTACGGGCATGTCAGGAAAAGTCACTGTCAAATTGCCATCCTCTCGCTTCGGGTTATGGGCTCCCCGCTGACCTGCGGCACTGCTGCCGGCGGGATTGACACCGGCTGGGCGCTGCCGTGAGCTCTGGCCAGCCCAGCTGCGAGGGGAGAGCCCGGGCACGGTGAGGGGAGAGCCCGGGCACGGTGAGGGGAGAGCCTGGGCACGGTGAGGGGAGCGTTGCAATAAATCCATGGGACTGGAAAAATAGAAGTGACCCTGCTGCGGGTGGCTATAGTTGACCAGTTTAACTCGGTGACAGGCAGGAGAACACTCTCGCAGGTAACTTGTGAAGCTGCTGGTGTTGCAGGGCCTCATCAGCCCCGTCTCTTGGCTGTGCGTGTGCTCCGGAGGAGTTTTGGCTGCCACATCTCCCTGCCCAGGGAGGGAGCTGAAGGATTCCGGGTGAATCTCTGTGCTGGGTGACCGGCTCAGTTGCTGGTTCATGTCATACGGTGGTGCCTCGTTCAGGAAGAAAACTCGGGGTAGGAATTTCAGGGGAGAGAAGGTAAATCTGGACTCCCACTCTGGCATCGTTAGAGGAGCACTTCAGGACTCCAGCCGCTCTTTTAATTGCCTGTAATGAGGCTTAGAAGCAAACACCCTGGTGAGGAGGAGGAGGAGGGGAAGCGCCTTCACCCCTGGCTGGCTGTGCGATCGTGTGCAAGGAGTAAGGGCTGTAGGTGTGTTGGAGTTCCGTCTGGGAATACCTGCTGACATCCAGGGCATGTTTCCAGTCTCATGCTGGTCCCTGGGTGGGATGTGTGTGCTCCAGAGAAAGGTGAGAAGATTTGCCTTTTTGATGGATGTGTGTCGAGGTGGACACAGCCCATCGCCCATACCTGCTGCCTGATTTCCCAGCCCCAGGGTTGGGTGCTCTGCAGTGGTAACGTGTGGAGCTGTGTGAACGGGGAGCCAGCTGGGTGTCGTTCTGATCTGGACCCCTGGGGCCTCATTCAGGCCAGGGTGAGTGTGGAGCTGTTCCACCACAGCAAGGGAGCTTTTCCGGACGAGGCAGTTGTGACCTAAAAGTCCATGGGCTCCCTCCAGTTCTGGTGTGACACTTTGGGACAGTGACCGTGGGGCTCCCGGCTCTGGGGAGGCTTTGGCAGTGTTTGGTCTGTGCTGTGTTGAGGCTGGGAGCAGGATCAAAAGGAAATTTTGGTGGTAGGTAGAGCTGGGAGAGTTTCTCTCTGTGATTTTCTGCCTCATCACCGCCTCTCACAACCCCTGCTTGTCCTGTCGCTGAGCTGGGACGAGCCCAGGAGCTCACTGCACGGAGAATCCTGGAACAAGGGAAACAAACTGGCTGTGGCCAACGCTGCTGGAGAATCACAATCACAGAAGGGTTTGGGTGGGAAGGGACCTTAAAGCCCATCCAGTGTCACCCCCTGCCGC